AAGTCCAGCCTTTAGGGGGCCCCCCCCCCCCCCCCCACCCCCACTGTCAGGAAGAATAGATATCAACGGTCATTTCAGAGGCCCGGGCTTGGCGTGCCCCAGACTTTCGTCTCTGTAAAACAAAGCCCCTATACGGCCGTTGATTGCCCCCAAACTGAGGAGCCTCCGCGACCTTGTAGACCCATGAGTGGCAGGGTTGTGTTTTGCAGACGGGTTGAGTTGGCAGAGCTCCAAGTTTCCGATTGGGCATCTTGGGGACGACGCTCGGTCGATGCCATGGCGCCGGCTTTGATAATCACGTCGGGGTGATGAAATACCTTGCAAGGGTGTGTCACTCGCGTTTGGACCTAAGGCGCGGTACAGCAGACAGCCGGTTAGGGTCGCATCAGATCAAATCACAGCAAAGGGCAACACTAAAAAGTCAAGTGTGAAATCAAGGCCAAGACCAATAACTTACAATGTAGAAGAGATACTCGTCCAACAGCATGCGCAGCGCATTAAAAGAGCCAAAGGAAGGCGCACTCTTCATCGTCAGCTCGCGCAAGATCTGCACCGAGTAGAAAGACCAGCTTTGTAGCAGGTTGCGTGACACCTTGTGGTTGAGCTGCACCTTGCGTACCGCACGTGCCTCATCATCTTCGCCTGCGGTTGTGGACGCGGCGTCCGCATCCGCCATGGCATCGGCACTCGACTCGTCCTTTGACGTCACATGCTCCGTATCCTTGTCCCGAGCCGGGCTGGCACTGCGCTGGCCGGTCAACGTATCCTTGGTCGCTGCTTCCACCAGGGCATCAAGACCATGGCCTGCCTTCTTGAACGTGGGTGTGGCCTCGGGCCCCGCGGCAGCACTGCCTGCTCCGTTCAACTCGGCCTTGTCGTGGGGCGGGGAACGCGGAGCGGCCAGGTCAGCTCGACCCGCAGCAGGCTTGCCATTTGAGCCGGTGGTGCTCTCGCCGTCATCGTCTCCGACTGAACTGTCTTCGAATCGCTGCTCGGCGTTGCTAAAGACGCGCTCTACCACCGACATGAGCCAGTGTGAAGTATAGCTCAAGCCACGAGGCTGCTCCAGGAGGGCCTTGAGTTCAGCGAAGATTTGTTCGACAAAGGAGTCCTCGCAGCCCGTGACCCAGGCTGACTCGCGACGAATGGCATCCGTGGACACGCGCTCCAGATCCAAGCGCATACGGTGCACCTGGCTTTGGCTTGAGAGCATTTTGCTGCCCGCTTGCGCCAACTCGTTCAGGGCCAAACGTCGGCGCACGATCTACAACGATCAAGAAAAACAACAACAACCAAAAGGTCAGGCAGGGACCGGCATTTGTCGGGCTAGGTTGGGTGTATTGGCTAGTGCTTGGGCAATGCAGCAGAGCTCGGACGCACCTGTTCCAGAACTTCGCCTGCCGTCTGCTTGGCTTCGATGAGAGACCAGGGAAGCTTGACGGCGAGCGTTTTGAGATCCTTGAGTGAGGAGATGAGGTCATCCACGAGGGTATGAATGGTACTAATGGCGTTCTTGCCAACTGGCCGGAGCACCTCGGGCACCAGCACGTGGAGCATGGTATCGTATAGAATGGTGTCCCACAGCTCGACCTTGATGCAGACAGCAGCTGAGTGGGCCAAGGTGCGGTGTGCTTCCGGACCCTTTGTCCAGAAGCTGTGAATGTTGGCATAGAGCTGAGCAAAGTTCATTTCCTTGAGATTGGACAGAAGCGTCTCACAGTGTGAGCGGTAGCTCTCAGCAAACTCGCCAACCATCTCGGCCGTGACATCAGCCAGCTCAGGCGTATCCTCAGCGTCCTCGCGCACATCCTCAAAGGCCAAATAAGGCAGCTCTGGGATTTCCAGGTTCTGATCCAAAGACTGCGCAAGCATCTCCAGGGTATCGATGGAGGGTGTGTGTTTGGCTTGAGGCTCGCCTTCGGTCCCGGGTTTGCCGCTAGTGCTGGGTGTGGCCTCGGTACCCGCCGACGTCTTGCTCAGACCTTCCTTGGAGGTTGTCACGGGGGCTTTGTTGTTGTTCTTGCCGTTGTTGTTGCTGCTCTGGGCGGGATTGTGGCTGCTCGAGTTGCTTACGCTCTTGTTATCCTCGTCATCTTCTTCGTCAAG